AGTTTTGGCATGTTTTTTCAGCACAAATATACTATACTATGGCCCAGGAGTCTACATGCTGTTATTATGTCAGGACACATTAACAGCAGATGAGAGGAAAACATGTCTTTCAAGCATCCTTGTGCTGATATCCTCAGATAAACTGAAATAGTTACTGAGTCTGTCCACTGATTTAAGAATCTTGGTGATCATTCTTCTTTTAATCAATTAAATAAATGTGCACGTTACAACTTCTATAGGTCTCTTTTTGAGTTAATGAAGCTAGTTTGAGTGAACTTACAATTTGCTGTGTGATCTACGAGTGTCTACTCAGTACTAAGGCCATTAAGTTCATCAGGGCTTACTCCTAGGTCAGTGGCTAGGAAAAACTGGCCCCAGTAAATAGAAGCTATGCTCATTATTAGAAGGAAAGGCTCTCTTTAACATTTTCTTTCTCCTTCCTTATTAAATAAACACAGCAGAACCCCCAAAGGCTAAAAAATAGTGTTGCCCACAAGTGTTGCCCTTGTGCCTCAGCTCCACCAAGTAATCAACTAAACCTTTGGTTGATTAATCTACAGATTAAACAAATGAAAGTGTGCAGACCTAATAGAAATGAATAACTGGCTCAGGTTAATGAAGAACAATTGGCTGGTCTCTCAGATCTCATTAGCCTTTAGTGAGTGTCATCAAGAAAGCAGTCATTTGGGTGAGCCTTACAATAGCCTCATTTTTCTGAAGACTGCCTGGTTTCTGCAGTCAACTGAAATGGTGTGCTGGAGGAGGAGAGTGGGCCCTCCACAATGCAGTGGACATATATAGTTTCTGGTAAATACCAAATCACATGAATTGGTCCTCCACATGATTTGCAATTCATGCTGAAGGTCATGATCACACCAGGGAATATTTCATGACAGAGGGAAGTGGTCTGCACCACGTTCCACAACATTTATTTCAGTGTTGTCCTAGCTGAATTAGGAGTGGTGTGCATGCATTGCTAAAGGTATTTCCAAAGCATATTGGAATCCTCAAAGCTTAAAAATAAGTGATGCAGAAGCAACAGGTTATAAATAAAAACTGTCTGCTCACGAATCTTGATCAGATAGATTTCACGAGTGGTAGACAGTAATGCTCTCTGTCACTCAAAAGCTATTAAATTCTAACTCAGCAAACAGGCCTAAATAAATAAGGGCAAGATTTGATTTATGTTTCATGCTAGAATGACATCTTTGGGAGAGCTTTTCTTTGTTTTCTGCACATCTGAAGTTCAGAAAAATGCATCCCAGGTTTTCAGTAGTTCAAAGGGAAGAATTGTGTAGCTGTTGTTCACCTACTATGTGGTTGTATGTAGAACAAACTGTGTATTCATTCCTTATGTAGACAGCCCTAGCGTCCTGACTTCACAATACACTAATGGAATCTATATTTGCAGTAACTATCCAGGAAACAGATGCTTGAGAATAGAACTGCGCTGGTGGCAGCAAACACAGACTATGGGACACATGCTGTTGTTTATTCACCATACAGAAACTGAAAGGGGGAAGGCTTTGAGAGGGAGGAATTAAGCATGCCTCATTAGGGCTTTATAATTTTATGGGTGAAACTTAATTTTTGCAAATTTCTTCAGTGAGGGGTCTTAAAAATATATTTCTTGGTGCAAAGAATTCAAATCTGCTTTTATTTATGTGACTGGACAACATTTAGTTTGGTAAGTCTATATTTGATGAAGAAGCACAGAAACCACTTTTGGAAAACCAAAGAATTATAATGCTACCTTCTGAAAATAACAGGTAATGAGGAGAAGAAGAAGAAGAAGAAGAAGAAGAAGAAGGGGAAAAGGAGCCCTGGTTATAGCATAGTATCGATGCAAGGTTGCAGTGAGGTGTTACAATCCATGCTAAATACACATCAATCACAAATTCCAAATAAAAGTTTTTTTAAAAAATAGGATAGACTTTAGGCAAGGCTAGCCGACTATCAGCCAGAGTGAGGCAGCCAACAAAGATAGCTGATTTGGAGTCTCACAGAAGGGCAGCAATTTTCTAGTTATTTAATTTATTGTTCTGTTTTCCTGCCAGAGAGGAGAAGAAATGGCTTTTCTGCCTCAGCTACCAAAATGACTTAACAGTGCACCTTGCCTTTGCAGAGAGGTGTGTACAGAGGGATGCTGTCCCAACATTTGCTGCTAGTACAGCTGCATTTCAGTGGATTATAACAGCCTGCTTTTTAAAAATGCAGCTTCCGGTTTTGGAAGCGGGGCTTCTCACCAGACTTGACATTTCACAGCTGGCTACCCTGTCTCTTCCCGAAGGAGCAGCAAAGAAGCAATGCTGGTAAGTGGTAATGGTGTGAAGTCACCTTACCTGGTCTGCCAAGTTCTCTGGCTGCAAGTGCTGGCCTTGCAACACTGGCCCCTTCTCAACACACCTCCATGATTGTGGACTACATTGTCAAGCCATTCTGTGGGCAGAGGCGCATTTAGGGGAGCGTGGCCGGTTTGCCCACACTGGGTGCCAAGGCAAGAAGAAGAAGAGTTTGGATTTGATATCCCACTTTATCACTACCCGAAGGAGTCTCAAAGCGGCTAACATTCTCCTTTCCCTTCCTCCCCCACAACAAACACTCTGTGAGGTGAGTGGGGCTGAGAGACTTCAGAGAAGTGTGACTGGCCCAAGGTCACCCAGCAGCTGCATGTGGAGGAGCAGAGACGCGAACCTGGTTCACCAGATTACGAGTCTACCGCTCCTAACCACTACACCACACCACACTGGCAAGAGGGTACTGCCGGAAGGGTGCCACAACATTGACTTACAACAGAAGGCCAGAGGTGGGAGGGAGCACCAAATTTTGGCTTCACACTGGGTGCCGCTGAAATTTGAAAGCCCAAAGTCCCCCACTGCTGGGGGTCCCAGGTCACTGTGGGTATTCTTACCAGCTTTTTTATGTCCTATTTTTGTCTGAGTTAGAGCAGAGTGGAAATTCCTCAGAAATATGCCTTCCCAAGTGTTTTCTTTTTCTCACCACCACCACTCTGAAGGAAAAATCCACTTCCAGAACTTTCTCTGAATATTCACCACTATTTCTTTTGGGGCAGCTGCCATTTCACACACACACACACACACACACACACACACTGCCTTAGAATGACATTAGGTTCAGGGTTTTGTTGGGGATACAAAATGGTGGCTGGGCTGCCAGCATAACCTCAGGGGCCTTTTGCAGAAGCAGCAAAACAAAACAAAACTTTTAAGGGAGAGATGGCAAGGGGAAGCTGTGTTCTTGCCACTCCTCAGTGGTGAGCCCCACCCCTGAGAAATTCTTAGAGAATTTCTCCTCCCTCTGGAGAAATTGTTGAAATGTCTCCCTTCCACGCTATTTTTCTGCCCACAAGATAATGTTGAGAGGCCATTTGTTCCTCATTGCTACTGCTGTTCAGTGTTCCAGTATGTTTCAGTGGGTATTAGTTACAACTCACAGCCATGTTCTGCTGGTAGCTTTGAGAAGATTCATCTTCATAAAGGAGATCATAATTAGAGAGTATCATCTTGGCAAGCAGTACCTATCTGTTCCTTAGATACCTACCATGTAAAGATGCCTTAGTGGAAGGAGAGATTATAGAAATATAGGTGATTTCATTTGTTAGCAATATTACAAATTTCAGAACAACAAAGAATTTGCAGTTAGTGTTTCTTTCAAGAGCTCAAGGCTGGTTTGAACAAAATCAATTAACTGTTTTTTTTGCAGTTAGCATTCTACTACCTGCTGCATTTATTTCTGATGATTAAGAAGTTCCTGCAGTGAGGTGTGATTCTGTGGATTTGAGCTTTGGGCTTTCAATAAAAGGTATCTAGAGATATCTCTTTATTCTATTAAGAAAAGCATAATGAAGTAGAATCTTTAGATCATAGTGTGGGGCAAACCCAGCAGGGGGTAAGAGTTTTCCGCCTTCCTCTGAAGGAGGAAGATAGGTACTGCCTCTTAGTACGAAGAAAAGTGTGTGTGCCATTCCTGATCACAAATGGAAAAGGCTTTATGTCGAACTATTCAGTTAAACATTTTAAGAGGGGAGGTGCAGAGGGGTGCCATTAGGGAGCCTTATCTGTTTTGGTTACATCCGAGACCAATAATTTGTGGCTCATCTATATCCGGTGGCTTGGAATGTACACCATAATGGCAAACAGATAAAGAGGATAGCAAGAGACCTCTGAATGTGTTGCTATTTTGGATATTGCTTTTAATTTGCTAACTGGTGGTTCTCATGTTGAGTAAAGTAGTGATTTAACTGGTGTTTTATCTTAAAATGTAGCAAATGAATTAGTGGATGATATCCCTGCTGAATTACTACTCAAGTAAATGAGGGATGGGGAATCTGTGGCCCTCCAGTGGTTGTTGGACTACAACTCCCATTGTCCCTCACATTCTTCCATGTTGGCTGGGGTTGATGGGAATTGGAGGCCAACACAATCTGGTTTCTCTCTCCCTAAACTAAATGATGAACTAACCGATCAACTAAGCCAGGCTTCCTCAAACTCGGCCCTCCAGATGTTTTGAGACTACAATTCCCATCATCCCTGACCACTGGTCCTGCTAGCTAGGGATCATGGGTGTTGTAGGCCAAAAACATCTGGAGGGCTGAGTTTGAGGAAGCCTGAACTAATCTGTGGAAAGAGACAAGGATATCCACTGTCTACATTGGCAATGGGACACTTTGTCACTGAGGTTCAAAATAACCTAATACTAAAGGTGTTGTGATAAACCATACTGAACTGAAGAGGCCAATTTGTGTGCACCACTGTCTTTAATAGGCATGTCATCACCTGAGCCATTGCTGCATGAGTCCGTGGTGGTTATCAGACTCCAAGATTCCTCATTCTCCTTCCCCCATCCTCACTCTAGCACACCAGAGGAGAATCATTTTTTGATCTGATTTATTTAATTATTAAGGACAGAAAAATTGCCTTGCTTGATCTGATCAAGCATGCTTCTTTCAAAGAAGCAACCTCCCGGATGCTTATAGAAGATCACAAGCCGGGCACAAAAGAGATGGCCTTCCCCTGTTCTTTGTCTTCTACATCTGACAGTCTGTACCTGGAGGCTTCATTTATCTACAACAGCAATAACTGATGGTAGGCTCATTCACCATGAATTAAAATTATTAATGTTACAGGCTTCACATTAGGACTGGAGGATTTAAACCTACAACCTCAGACGGAGGCTTCCTGCAAAAAGGATAGCGCAGCAAAAATTGTAGCATATTTAAAGGACAACTTTCAGCCAAATGCAATTGCCCACCCAAGGAGATCACTGAGAGAGGCCCTTCTCCATGTTCTGCCACTGTCAGAGGTTCAGCTGTGTGTGGTCTTTAATGGCCCCCAGGCTTTGAAATGCCCTTCTCCACCAGAACAGCCATCCACCCCCCACTTTGCCAGCATTTTAACAATAACTACCAGTGATGCTAATGCCCATTCAATTCAGCCTTCCTTCCAGAGTGATACGTTCCTTAAAATGGATGGCTGCGGATGGTGACTGAAATGTATTTTCAGTAATCCCAAGCAGAAATGGCATAAAATAAGGCAAATATGCACTGCAGCTTGGCACACTGGGACTCTGTCTCCTTGTTCCATTCATTGATATTCGTATCAGCAACACCAGACTGTCATTTAACCAAAGGAGCTCATCTATCAAACCCAAGATTGCTATTTTTTCAGTGGCTAATACAGATGGCCAAATCAAATACCGTTAGGAAATAAGGACCTTAATGGTATATGTGTTATACAACATGCCATAGAGCAGGTTCCTGGTCAAAGTAATGCTCTGCTGTAGTGTCAAGAACATCTGCTGCACTAAAACACTCCTCTTTGGCTAAGTAGTGCAAAATCTAAAGATGGCAACTTTTCCAGTATTTCAAGAATACTGCTCAGGACTAGCTCCAGGGTTGAGGGGGTCTCATAAAGTGCTGTCTGAGGTGCCACTTTCAATCTCACACACCCCAACTTCAGACTTACTTGACAGAAGCAGTAGGTGGTTTATGAAACCATCACTTTAAATCGTCCACAGTGCCATGGGTGCACCAAAGCACTGTGGGAAATGTTGCTGTTTGATTCGTCTTTTCTCAGACCAGCAAAATCTGACTAGAAAACTTAACTTAGCTCAGCCTGAACACCGAGGTCCTCCGGGGGTCTTCTGCTGCTTCCCTCATTGTGAGAAGTGACATTATGGGAAACCAGGCAGAAGGTCTTGTCCGTAGTGGCGCCCTCCCTGTGGAATGCCCTCCCTTCAGATGTGAAGGACATAAAGAACTACATAACTTTTAGAAGACATCTGAAGGCAGCCTTGTATCAGGAAGTTTTAATGTTTGATATTTTACTATGCTTTATGTATGCTGTAAGCTTCCCAGAGTAGCTGGGGAAACCCAGCCAGATAGGCGGGGTATAAACAATAAAAATATCATCATCATCATTATCATCCCGCATTCGCTTCATATTTAAACCATGCATGTACCTATGAGATAGCCACTGCACATGCACAGATGATAGCTTCACTAATAGGAGCTTTGCAGGGTGGTACAGAGGTGAGGAAACATGTTTGTCAAGTGAAGACATCCTCGCTGCCTCTCTGATGTGTACATCATGGTGCAAGTGCAACTTGAAACTCAGTGGTGGGAAATGGCTTTGCTGTGCTTAATTAATGTGTACATACCCTCAGTCTACAGATCTATAAACCTTTCTGCAAGCTGGTTCACCCACTGTACTTGGGACTGGAACTCAGGGCTTGCAATACAATGTGGAGGCAGAAACTTTATTGCACGTACAGTGGCCCTTTTTGAACAGAATTGCGCAGAATGCAATCTGTGGTTGCTTCCTGCATCCTTTAAAAATGTGTTTTACTTAGTGCTGTGGTGGTATGCCATGCTTTGAAGCCCCTCCAAGAAGCTTTGCACTGCAAAAACAAGAAAAAGAGAGCTCACCTTGTAAGTCAGAGGAGAAACCACATTGGAATCTAGCAGGCCATTGATGGAGCTTGGCAAACTTAAATGGGTCATCCCTGGTGGAGTTTGTTTTCTTGCTTTTCAGACCCTGCTCCCTCATACAGATTACCTAACCAGTTAATTGGAACAATAAAATAGTGACAAATTGGCAACTCTAACAATGACTGCATTTTCAGTTGTGCTGAAGGGAAAGTGGTAAAAGCATTGTAACCAGCCTACAAAAAGGGATGCCTATGCTCCTTTTATCGCAAGTGACTTCGGGAAAGCATGGATGCCTTCTCTAAATCATATCCCATTGTTGCACTACTTGCATGATGCTTTATGAGTGTAAGCAGGAGAACGAGTGTTCCATATGCATCATTATTGTATACTTGGCATTACTACAAAAAGAGATCCAAGGGACGCACATTGAACCAGCCTTCCAATTGTGTCCCTCATAATTTAATGTTTGGCATTTTTTATATTGGAAGCCACTCAGAGTGACTGGGGAATAATATTAATAATAATAATAATAATAATAATAATAATAATGTCATATATGTTGTTATACCTCACTTTTTCTCAAATGAGGACACTTCTCCCTTCTCCATTTCATCATCGAGAGCCAGTGTGGTGTAGTGGTTAAGAGTGGTAGTCTTCCAATCTGGTGAACCGGGTTCACGTCCCCGCTCCTCCACATGCAGCTGCTGGGTGACCTTGGGCCAGTCACACTTCTCTGAAGTCTCTCAGCCCCACTCACCTCACAGAGTGTTTGTTGTGGGGGAGGAAGGGAAAGGAGAATGTTAACCGCTTTGAGACTCTTTCGGGTAGTGATAAAGCGGGATACCAAACTCCTCTTCTTCTTCTTCTTCTTCTTCTTCTTCTTCTTCTTCTTCTTCTTCTTCTTCACAAATAGCTTTGGCTGTGAGGTAGCTTTGGCTGAGAGAAGGTGATTGGCCCAAGCTCACTCAGTAGGCTTCATGGCTAAATGGGGATTTGAACCCTAGTGTCCCAGGTTTCCGTAAGAGAAAACACTTGACCATTTGGTTGTGTGTGTGTGTGTGTGTGTGTGTGTGAGAGAGAGAGAGAGAGAGAGAGAGAAATGGAAGCTTCGGCAATAGTTAATTTAAGGAGGCAGGCATATCTTTTCATTCAGCACTACAATAAAATGATGGTTGAACATGTTGCACATATTCTCTCTCACAGTTGTTGTCCTCCCTGTGCCAGATGTTATCCACTTTCATCAGCCAAGCCATCTTCAACCGTTTTCTCAACATGAGCCAACCAATTCCCAACTGCCACATGAACACAGCTAGCTTCCATAAAAACAACTTTCCAGGGTTACCCCTAGCAACCTAATGGAACTGGGTTTCTTTCTGTGAGCCTCATAAAATTGTTACTGATCGGGTTCGTGCACACCACTACCAATCCAAATTATAGCATTAATGGAAGCCTGTTGGAAAGGGCATTAGTTTGATGCAGTACATTAGCTGGTATGTAATGGATGGACAAATAGGGGATGGGTCAAGAACTATCATAAAACACTGTGTACCAGTGTTTTAGGGATTAAACTGAGACCTAGGAAGATGCTTCATTCGGATTTTTCCTCTACTATGAAACTCACGAGACAGCCTCAGACAAAACCAACATTCTTTCCCCAGCAACCACTCAACACTCGCCTACCTCACAGGGTTTGTTTTATTTTAGTTTGTTTATAATATGCCTTTCAAAATAATCCCTCCCAAGGCAGCATACAACAAAAATATTGAATTAATGTGTTTAATTGAAGTCATCACTAAAAATGTATGTAGTGCACAGCAAAGTGGAAGATCTCCAGTTCTCCTTGACCCACTTCCAGGATCTTGAAGTAGAGCAAAGCAGCAGAAGCCATAGACTGTAAGTAGCAAGGTTCAGTATGTATTTACTGATTTAACCCACAGTGTATTCAGCCTACACACGATGGACCTGATTCAATGAATGAAATCTGCTAGCAGAAGCCAATGCAAAGTCTACCATTAACCAATGGGCTTTCCAGCCCTCTCTTCCCTTGTGTGCCCCCTGCACCTGTCCAATTGGCTTGGCAGCAAACCCCAGAATAGCTTGCAGGGGGTGGGGGGTGGAGAGGGGAGATCATTCCATCTGGCAAGCTGAAATGCTTGTACTGATGGAATGATCTCCTTAGTGCTATGCTGATTTCCTCAAAATACCTTTAAAGCACAACTGAAGCACATTCTATTCCTGAAAGAATTCTGGGCACTGTAGTTTATTAATGGTTGCTTGGAATTGCAATTCCATTAAGTGTACCTGACAGTGCCCAGATTTTTTTGCATTTCTCTCTTGATTAGGGATTTAAAAGAAATAGCTTTATAAGTTGTGTGGCTTTCCCAATTTGATGGGTTTTGCATGTATTGTGGTATTTTATGCATTGTGTCTTGAAGGGTTTTTTTTCTTGATCATAGTTTGGTCATTTATTGTAATTGTTAAGAGTAAATTTCTGTTTAATTATCATTTGCTGATGTTTTGAGAGTTAATTTCATTGTGTGCTGTTGTATCCTAATTGATTATTGAACATTACTTTATTTGATACAAGCTGTTCCATTTTAAAGTTATGTTTTACTATAACTTCTTGTATTGGGTTAGATTATTATAAGGTGTGTGTCATTTGCTGTATATTTTCTTGCTGCCAACCACCTTGTGTATGTTGTTGTTTAGTCGTTTAGTCGTGTCTGACTCTTCGTGACCCCATGGGCCAGAGCACGCCAGGCACTCCTGATTTCCACTGCCTCCTGCAGCTTGGTCAAACTCACGTTGGTAGCTTCAAGAACACTGTCCAACCATCTCGTCTTCTGTCATCCCCTTCTCCTTGTTCCCTCAATCTTTCCCAACATCAGGGTCTCTTCCAGGGAGTCTTCTCTTCGCATGAGGTGGCCAAATTATTGGTGCCTCAGCTTCAGGATCTGTCCTTCCAGTGAGCACTCAGGACTGATTTCCTTAAGGCGGTATACAAATTAAAAGTGAAATGAAATGTGCACACACCGCCTAATAAGTGGCAGTCATGCCACACGAAGGGGAACCCACATTCAAAGAGACTGTGGGAACTGAGAGTGCTCTCTCTCAGCAGGCGCATGTATCATATGCACTGATTATGAGACAAAGGTATAACAGCGACATGGCTGAGTGGGCTTCATTTGTCTAGCTCTCCAAAGCAACATAAATAGGCCCCAGCTGGTCATCCAATTTTGTGTGAGTAAATATATTAGCAATGTAATTGTGGCACAGCTGAGTAAATCAGTGATATTTGCATGCCCACACAGGTGAGACCCAATCTTTATCACTGCCTGCTCATATATCCCCTCAATCTCGTTTCATCAGCTCGTAAGTAGCCCTTATCCAGTAGTCTCTAGTGAGAGCTGACAGATGCACAAAATCAAAATAAAGGGGACCAAGTTCAAAGGAAGCTTTCTCCAAAATGTCTCACCATGGTGGGAAAAGGAAAGGGGGTTCTCCTCTCAAATTCTACCTTGGCAAATGAGGGCCTGGCAGTCACTTAGGCAGTTCCTCATCAATCCTCCCTCTTCGGTCCTTTACCCACTTCCTTCTACAAACTTCTTTGGCCGTAAGAAAAGGAGCTGCATATTTGACCCCGTCTTAGCAACCTTTTAGAAATTCATATTCAAACAACTTTTCCCCAAAGGAAATGGAACTGTTGTTTTATTTCCAAATGCTACAAAACAGCCCAAAGACCGTAATTGCTACTTCAAGCTGACAGTTATTTTCAGAAGAAGCATGCCCCTAATCCTACTGATGGTTTGCAGGTCACGAATAACATACAGCTGTCAAATTCCTATTCAGATAAACATGCAAACACTTATTTAACTACTTTATGACTCTGAGTCTCTCCCTACCCCCCTTTTTTTTACCAACCATAGACATTTCATCTATATAATATCTTTTGAAATTAGGGCAAGAAATGGAGATTTAGCATACCAAAACGAGTTTTTATTCTTCAAAAGGAAGAGCTCTGCCCCATTGTTATCCTTCCATGATATATTGCAGTGCTGCTGCATCAGAAGAACATGGGGGATGGATGGATGGAGAAGGGCAGCAGGACAGTGAGGTGGAATCAGGATGAGTGAGAGGATCAGGATGAGTTGGTTGAAAGGACCAGAAAGGAAAGGGCTGGTGACCAAAAGAGCTTGCTGTGTCAGTTGATTAGGTAGGACATTATCTCTCCTTTTTTACTGAGTATTTGCATACTTCTGTTTGTTAAGTTCCATAAATATACACAACGGTTGGCTCAATTAGTGTTCAGTATGTGCTGATTCGGGACTGCAAAGCTTGAGGGAATCTGGTCTCTGCATCACATAGGCAAAGTGGAGGACAACCAAGCACTATCTATTGGCTTCTGAAAGAGCTGCAATATGGGTCTAATGCCGCTGGATGACACTGACAGGTTCTTGTAAACCTCCTGTGGCGATCACTCGTAGCTGAGTAAGATTGTCTTCCATAAACACAGTTTTAACAATGAGTCTGTAAGTGACTGTGGAGGCCAATTCTGGATCCACACATCCTTCCACAGTGAGGACATTGGTTTCCATGCGGGAGTTGATCATGGTGTGGATTTGCCAAGCGTGCCTTCCTCTTAGCACGTTTCTCCCTTGTGTCCTGAGTTTGAGTGTCTCTGGTAAAGGCTGTTCTCCAACTGGAGCACTCATAGGCCAGTGTTTCTCAGTTGTCAGTGTTTATACTACATTTTTTTAGATTCGCCTTGAGAGAGTCTTTAAACCTCTTTTGTTGACCACACCAGCATTACGCTTTCCATTTTTAAGTTCAGAATAGTTGTTTTGGAAGACGATCATCAGGCATCCGCACATGACCAGTCCAACAAAGTTGATGGTGAAGAACCATTGCTTCAACACTAGTGATCTTTGCTTCTTCCAGTATACTGGCATTAGTTTGCCTGTCTTCCCAAGTGATGTGTAAAAATTTTCGGAGACACCACTGATGGAATCTTTCGAGGAGTTGGAGATGGCGTTTATAAGTGGTCCATGTTTCACAAGCATATGGTAAGGTTGGTAGTACAATAGCTTTGTAAACAAGCATTTTGATAAATCACTCCCAGTATGAGCTGCAGTATTCAGTGTGACTTACACGGCAGAGTTGATATGAATCACTCTATTCTAGCCACAGTCCTTCCCAACATAGCTTATGGAGAATGAATTGTATTTGGTTTGGAATTTGCATTAGTGGGTATATACAGTGGTACCTTGGTCCTTGAACTTAATCTTTTGCAGGAGTCCATTTGACTCCTGAAACAGTTTGAAAACTAATGTGCAGCTTCCAATTGGCTGTAGGAGCTTTCTGCACTCAAGCAGAAGCCATGTTGGACTTTCGGCTTCCGAAAAACATTCGCAAACCGGAACACTCACTTCCGGGTTTGAGGCGCTCAGGAGCCTATTTCTGTGGGAGCCAAGCCATTCAAGTACCAAGGTACCACTACACACACACACAATTCACACTAAATAAGAACTCAGTAAGATGGTGAATTCTATTCTTGCTGCTACCTCTGGAAAGGTTTTGAGATGAGGGTAGCACATTGGCACTCCATCCCACTCACCTTAAAATCATTGAGATCTTTATAAATTCCTATGGACAACTCTTATCCATCTCTGGGGATGTAACTGTGAATATAACTTTTTTTTTTTAAATGTAAGAACTATTTCATATAAGAAAAGTATGTTCTGCATTCAAACCTGCATCATCAAAATTTGTGAAATTTTAATGTCACATTGAATATTCATTTAGGATCGTGGAGCTGAATTTCCTTAAAGGCATCACAGAATTGTTTTCATTGTTAAAATCAAGTGTTATGGGGCAGGATGGTGGCAGAGAGAATGCTCAGCTGTTATTCATTGCACAGGCTGATTCTATTCTTGATATTCATTTAAAAACTTTTTAAAGGGTTCAGCTAAAAAGGGGGGAGGGGATAAAGATTGTGTGATAGCATACTGCAGCAAAAGAGGGTAGATATCCAAAATCAGGGCAGGGAGAGAGAAAGCACCAAATCATCATTATGATTTGACAGTACAAATCAATCATTTGTGACCCAGAGCACTGCAGGGGGCTATAGTACAAGTAACAGAGAAGCCAGATTGCAGATCGTGGAGAAACGTTGCCGAGACAGATTGTCAGGGAAATGGCTGCCTTCCAGTAATTCTTTACAGAATATGGGGAAAGGGAACAAGTATTCATTTTGACAATTATCAGACAGCTGATTTGAGAGAGGAATTTAGCTCTTTTTCAGAATGGGGGAGTGCCATGACATTTGGAAGGTGATATAAAAAGATGACAAAGCATAAATTTCTAAATAAAGCATGAAGAGGACATTTTGCAAACCATGATACATGGAGCAAAAGAGGCCAATGCCACCTCAGAAGACTATCTGGAGTCATAGCTGCTCAGGGGAACAGAAAGAATTGTGAAGGAACTGGGGCCTCTGAGCACATTCCCAGCTCAGATCAGGAATTTTGTATCTGTACCAGAATTCTGACCAGAGCTCCTACACAGAAAAATCTACTCCTTGTCTATCCCAAGTTTTATTTGTTTCAGTAGGCAACTACAGAAACAGAGAGGGAAACCCTTTTAAAAATGTTTATTTATTGAACTTATATACTGCCCTATACCCACAGGTCTCAGGGTGGGTACCTTTTAGTACCTTTAATTTTAGGTTGTTGTTTTTTATTAACAGTACATGTGTGCCACGTAGAACTTAGTTTCTTGGGAGGCTTATTTATGTGAAAGGGGATTACAGAGAAATGAATGTACATGTTTCACCCTTTCTGATGTTTATTATGTTGCTGCCCCTTTAAGTAAAAGTAAACAAACAAGTTGAAGTCTGGGAAAGTGAGGGGAAAGAGGTAGACCCCCAAGGGCAGTTGAGTGAAAGTTTTGTCATGGTCCTACTCTGTTTAGGCCCCTGTAGAAATGTTGAAGTGGCTCTGGATCAATAAAAGTTTTTTTCTGTTTGCATCTCTCTGGGCTGGACTGTAACATTTAGCAACCTGGGAGGATTTGACTGAAAGGGTCTCACCCTGTGAAGGGCAAACCTACAGAGCTGTGGAAGGAACAGCTTTGCTTCCACAATTCCCAGCCAAATAACTGAATGGATCAGAAGCATTATGGCTACTAGAGATGGGCATATTCTTTCCATTTTAATTCACAAACAGATATACTCCTGCATACCTAGGGGGTCTTGTGACTGTGGAAAATCATGGCCATACTTTGGATGACTCCATCTGAGTTCCAAACCAAAAGGCAAGGTGCTTGCTTGTTTTTAAGGCAATGTTTCCCACACTTAGGTTGCCTGCCATTTCATGAATTTTCCCCTCTCAAATTTTGAGCAATTTCATTCTAAGCAACGTGCTTCTTCCCCCTGCCCCTCCCAGCAATGCATCTGGAGATTCCCTCCCACCGCATAGTAACACATCTTGAAGCGACACTGTACCTCTCCCCCATCCACAGCACATGGTCAAGATATTCTGCTTCTAGCAATGAAACCAGGTGAATGCTAAGTCAATGCTATTGCTTACTTTTTATTTGAAAAGGCTGAGACGCAAGCTGAAATGTTGAAGAAGCATATTAAATCAGGAAAACAGGCATGAAAAACAGATGGTCAGAGGGACAGCCTAACTAGCGGAACAATCCCCCCCCCCCCAAGTCAGCAAAACCTGTTACGGTGCTTGCCGTACTGTACGAGGCCAAAAAATAAAATAAAATAAATTTGGCTCTGGAAAACAAATGTAAAATGGAGCATACTAATAACAGAATGCAACGGAACTGTCTCTGGAAACTAGTATAGTTTATTTGTCTTTCCTTCAATTTGTACTTTTATAAAATGGATTTGGAGTTGTGGGAGCCTTGTGGTTGATAACTCTGCAGGGAATTAAAATCACAGCTGACATAGGAGCTACTAAACCTGCGGTGAAGAAGACTCCCTGGAGAAGACCCTGATGTTGGGAAAGATTGAGGGCACAAGGAGAAGGGGACGACAGAGGACGAGATGGTTGGACAGTGTTCTCGAAGCTACCAGCATGAGTTTGACCAAACTGCGGGAGGCAGTGGAAGACAGAAGTGCTCTGGTCCATGGGGTCATGAAGAGTCGGACACGACTAAACGACTAAACAACAACAAACCTGCGGTAGCTTTGTAAAGGTTTTGCTAAAATAAGCAGCACGCCTTTCAAATTGTTTGGTTGACCAGACGGTCAATTACTGCTCCCTGAATGAGTTTGTGTTTCAGCTCTCCTCCTCATGGTCAACCCTCTCTAATTCTGCTCCAGAACTCTGCCAGAGTCTTAGCACTGAAAAGACTGCCCATTATTAAGATTTCTACAGTTTTAACATGTAGGAAAATGTCAGCAGACTCATCTCCATGGGAATGTTGATGGTCTTTCATATTTTAAGTAACGATAATATTCCCCACAGCTTGGTGGCCAGAATGTTCATGAAAAGGTGCTCACTTGTTTGTGTATGTATAAATTTTATTATTTTGAATATTTGCTCCATGGTTGTCTTCCAATGAATAAACTGAGCTCACACAATAGAGCAATCATGTTGGTAAAAGCAGTACAACTGGACTTCAAAAAAACTCACAAAGCTCTTCATCATCATTTGCCTCATCTTCCATCTTTGAAATCTGCAGAGTTTTGACAGATCAGCCAAGGATAGTTGCTGATGCTTGACTCCAGCCTCCTGCAGGGTGAATTCGTGTTAATTGGATTGTGTAGTCCAAACCTAACAAACCTTGACAATGCCATTTTGAATAGTTTTACTGATAGTTTCTGTCACTTACAGTTGAATAGTGGAGAATGCCTTGTTAATGTATGTCCCTCTTTCCCCATCTCTCCCCTTATCCTCCTTCTTGTTATATATCCTTGGCTGCTGCTTTGGTGTTCTGGTACCTCTGAAAGTAAAATCAAGATCCTGTGGTTAACAAAAGGGGGAAATCCCTATCTGTTACCAGGGCTTTCTGGAGAAAGAAAATATTCCTGTTAGTTTTTAATATGTTGAAGCTAAAGGTAAGGGGGAAAGGGACCCCTGACCATTAGGTCCAGTTGTGGCCGACTCTGGGGTTGCGGTGCTCATCTCGCTTTATTGGCCGAGGGAGCTAGCATACAGCTTCCGGGTCATGTGACCAGCATGACTAAGCCGCTTCTGGCGAACCGGAGTAGTGCACGGAAACGCTGTTTACCTTCCCGCCGCAGTGGTACCTATTTATCTACTTGCACTTTGACGTGCTTTCGAATAGATAGGTTGGCAGGAGCAGGGACCGAGCAATGGGAGCTCACCCCGTCGCGGAGATTCAAACCGCTGACCTTCTGATTGGCAAGTCCTAGGCTCTGTGGTTTAACCCACAGCACCACCCGCTACTGGAGTTTAACGCAAGGACTTCACCTGTAACAAAATGTAATGTGAGTTATAACATCTAAAGCAGTGATCCTGTTAGCTAGGGATGATGGGAGTTGTAATCCCAAAACAGCTGGAGGGCCAAGTTTGGCCCTCACTGCTCTAAAAGGACTTTGATAGAACAGCGTGTCACTTCCCATAGGCCCATCCCCAAGGAAAGCAGTTGGAATCTCATATCTTCCAATATTTCTCCGATGAAAATAGGGACATCCTATTTCATCATCATTATTATTACTCCCTGCCCATATGCCTGGGTTGCTGGTTGCTCCAGCCACTCTGGGCGCCTTCCAACATATATAAAAACATTAAACATTGAAAAACTTCCCTATACAGGGCTGCCTTCATATGTCTTCTAATGGTTGTATAGTTACATATCTCCTGGGCTCGGGGGTCGCATAACTCCATACCCTCTAACATTTCTCCAGTGAAAAGAGGGACGTCCTACTGTACCCTCCAACACTTCTCTGATGAAAATAGGGATGTCCTGAGGGAAAGTGGGACATTCCAGGATCAAATCAGAAACTGGGACAGCTTCTGTAAATCTGGGACTGTCGTTGAAAAATGGGGACACTTAGAGGGTCTGGAATCTGTTCATCCTGGGGGGCCACTAGGGGGCGCATTGGAAGATGGCCGACAATACCATCTCTCCGACCCACACGGGGTAATTAAGAGGCTGTTATGGGAGTAGGCAGCCTCCCTTGTTGCCCCAAGGAAATGGGGAACACTGCCCTTGCCTGCCGTGCCCATAAATCACCTCCTAAATCGAAAGAAGGGGTGAGGGCCCTAGGCAGAATGCCCCGTGTGGACATCGGCTCTCGTGGACGCTGTCTCTGATCGCGCACTAGTTGGAGCAATTTGGAATAATTAATTACAAAAGAAGCAAATGCACATATTTCAAGTGAAGCAGGGGAGTGAAGTCTGATAATTTAAGTGACCTCTGCGAAAGAAGACGACGGGCTGGAGAAACAGGAATATTTTATGATGAAGATACACCAAAGGCGGGGTATGTTGACAACGGGGCTGAATGGGGGGGGAAAACCTTTTTTACTTTCCTTCTATGTGATTTACAAGAACCCCTCCTCATTAGAACCGTCGGTTGAACTGACCCAAGCAGGATGATTAAGGTCTGTGTGGAGATAAACTTTAACCAAAAGTATGCTTTATGGAGACCAAGAAGCAATAAGAGCTTTTGGGAATGGCACAGCAATTAATTCGGAGTCGCCATCTTGCCAAAGGATTTACAGCCGGGAGGAAGAACGGATTTGTTTTCAGACTGCATTCCTAGTGAATCTCCTCAGAGGTTTTGAGAAAGGAGGCAGACTGGTGAAGATTAATGACGCTAAGACTGTTTTGATGTATGGAAGTGATGTTATATGGAAAGCGTCTGGATATGGCTACTGGATAAAAAAAATAATATCCACGCAGGATTACAAACTGTTCTAACCAGCTTGCGGAGACTATCAGAGGTCACAAAGAGAAAGGAAAACTATATGAAAATAACAACAAGAGATGTGGAAAAATAATAAGAAAGGACTGGATAGTACTGTGAATATCATAAGGTTAGATTTGTGGACATTAAAACTGCAGTAAGAAGCAAGAAGTTGATTGGATCCCTTCGGAATTTGAAATATGGGTACCCCCAACAAAAATTTAAAATTTGGCTGTGTAATTTGGAATTTATGTAATTTGGTTTGATTTGATGTGATTGGTCGGCTAATAAAAAATTATTCTGGAATCTGTTCATCCTGAAAGCTTCTGAGCATGAATTAGATCCTTTCCACAACCCCCAGTGCCTCCCGTAAATCTAATGGGTCAGAGAAACTGGTCATCCAGAGGGAGTGGTTGGAAAGGCTTGATTTTGCAGCATGGTGTTTGCAACTGGCTTGGAGGCCCTGATTTCACAATAATGGCACTGTTTGTACATCAGAGTTTAGAGCAGAGGAGGGCAACCTGGGGCACTCTCAATTCTTTTGGACGCTATTTCATATAAGCCCCAGTCAGAATAGCTAATGGCTAAGGGTGATGGGAGGGACGCGAGTGGCGCTGTGGGTAAAACCTCAGTGCCTAGGACTTGCTGATCGTAAGGTCAGCGGTTTGAATCCCCGCGGCAGGGTGAGCTCCTGTCGTTCGGTCCTAGCTCCTGCCCACCTAGCAGTTTGAAAGCACTCTTAAGTGCAAGTAGATAAATAGGTACCGCTTTATAGCAGGAAGGTAAACGGCGTTTCCGTGTGTGGCACTGGTGCTGGCTCGCCAGTTGCAGCTTCGTCACGCTGGCCACGTGACCCAGAAGTGTCTTTGAATGGCGCCGGCTCCCAGCCTCTTGAGCGAGATGAGCGCGCAACCCTAGAGTCGGTCATAACTGGCCTGTACGGGCAGGGGTACCTTTACCTTTAAAGGATGATGGGAGTTCTCGCCCAACTAGAGTGCCTATCCTGAACTTTAGAGGCTCCAAGACAAGCTAAGTGTTGTTCAGAATCCTCTGTAGACCCACCATGCCATATCAAATCTAAATTGAAATGGGTCCACAAATATTGACGCTTCAAATCGGTGACCAGGTCCTGAATCTACAGCTGGAACCTGGATTGTTTTCCACTCCCAGTTTTCCGTGGCACTCATAAGGGTCACTCTACATGATGGCTGCCTCTGTGATGCCAGCAATTTATCTGGAGCTACCTGCTACCTCCCAAAAAGCTTGCTACTACCAAATTGAGAAGTTTGCAGCAACATGAAAACAATAGGCTTGACTGCTTCAACAGCCTCATGGTGTTGATTTAAAAGGTGCTTCTTCAAGAGTGCTTGTTTGTTTGTAGCTGCTCTAAAAATTAAAAGTTCATGCAAAATCACAGTTAATACAAAGATCTTGTAAATGTGTGAGGTGTAACGAAAACAGTTCTTTTTAAGGCTGGGAGAAAGTGTTAGAATGCTCGAAGAGCAAACCTGTATAAAAGAGCTAAGAACTGAATTTGTGAGGAAGGATTAAGAGCCCCCAGTGCCACAGCTTGGTTTAGATTGTAAAAGCCTATAGGCATTTTACAGGGAGAACAGGGGTTTATTTAATGATATAGTAATATTATACATGATAGTATAACTAGGAAGAAATGGTCGGAGAGGATGGAAAAAGTTTTTCTGAACTAGTAGATTAGGATGTAGTCAAATTCCCCAAGGGAAATGGTTGGAATAGAATTGCTTTGGGTTTTGGGTTTTCAAGATTAGACACCATTATAAGGAGTGATTTGACACATGAAATAAAATGAATGATTTGGTCTAAGCAATATTAAATGTATGGAAAATTTTCTACATTCCAGTTTGCCCTTTTTGAAAAAAGTGCAATTCTATATCTACTCAAAATTAAGCCCCAAGTATTATACTACAGATGGGACACGGGTGGTGCTGTGCGTTAAACCACAGAGCCTAGGACTTGCAGAAGGTCGGTGGCTCGAATCCCCACAACGGGGTGAGCTCCCATTGCTCGGTCCCTGCTCCTGCCAACCTAGAAGTTCGAAAGCACGTCAAAGTGCAAGTAGATAAATAGGTACTGCTCCGGCGGGAAGGTAAACAGCGTTTCCGTG